AAATTTTCGACCTATATCCCTGATTAATAATGACACCAAAATGTATTAGAAAATATTGGCTATTAGACCTTCACAAATTCTCCCTTCTTTAATTAACAAGGACCAGGTAGGATTTGTATTAAACCATCAGGCCCCGGATAGTACTAGGCATTTCATTAATTTAATCCACCATGCTTCTTTCATTAGATGCGGAGAAGGCATTTGATCTAATTCATTGGGGTTTCCTAAAGGAGGTTATGTTGCGATTTAATATTCCAGATCCTTTCATCAGGGCTGTTTTTGTGCTATATTGCGCTCCAACTGCAAGGATTTTTGCAACTGGTTTTATCTCTGAAACTTATTAAGTTGTCCAATATGACCAGGCAGGGTTGTCCGTTGTCACCACTCCTGTTTGTGTTGGCAATGGAGCCCCTGGCTGAAATGATTAGACAGTGTGCAGATATAGCAAGCATTGTGGTAGGGGACAGGGTGCATTAAATTGGCTTTTTTTTGCAGATGACATTATGCTTTCATTAAAAAATCCTATGACTTCAGTCGACTGCCTAATGTCCATCTTGCGTGAATTTGGCAAATATCATATTACAAATTGAATACTAACAAAACTCAGACTCTTTCTTTCTACACTCTGTGGTATAATTTAAATGTTTTGAAACAGAAATTTAACTTTGACTGGAGGGACTTATATGTATCCTATTTGGGCATTAATCTGTGCAAGAACCTGTCAAAAATGCATATCTGTAACCTGGCTAAAGTCTGGACCGAAATTAGGGACGACCTTGAAAGGTGGTGTAGTCTTGAAATCTCATGGTTAGGTAGGGTTAATTTGGTCAAGATGTCTCTACTTCCAAAAAATTTGTATTTTATCAGAGCAATCACCCTCACCACACCTTTATCTTTTATTAGAAGGGTTCATTCTTCCTTTGTGACATTTGTATGGAATAAAAAGCCATGTAGAATCAAAATGAGCATTATGCCTAAACTCAGGGTTAGTGGAGGTATGGGTTGTCACATCCTGTTCCTAGCTGCGGATCATTCTGGCAATGGCTTCTGGTATCCAGTACTCTTTTTTCAATTCTTGTTTAGTTTTTCTTGGTTTTTCTGGTTTTCTATTCTATGTCTGGTTTTCTTTATTGCGGGGATTGTAATCCATCCCTGGGATTCCCAGTCTCCACGTTTCCTTTAAATGTTTGTTTTATGTAGCCACACCCGTTTGTTTTCCATCATTCCTTTTTGTTTCAGTGTTCCTGCAGGCAGCTGCTCAAGGCTTCTGCCCTTTCTTGCAGGTAAGTGCTATATAGGTCTTTTTTGGTTGTTTTAGCATATAGTAGGCAGAGTAGGACCTGCCAGATATTGGGTACATTGGCGTTGTTGGCAGGCTTATGCAATGTATGATCATATAATGTAACTAAATCCCCATGATTTTCATATATAGTACTTGGTTATCTCTTGTCTTGTTTTATTTTGTATTCCCAGTTCATGTACAGTCCTGTCCTGTCCTGCCCTGTTCTTGTTTTCCTCATGTCTTGTGTACATGTTTTGGGTTCTGCTTTCTGTCCTGCTCTGGTTCTGGGTTCTCCTAGTTTTGTCTTGTTTTTATGTATGGTGCCTATCTCTAGTCTTGCCTTGCTTCTGTACTGGATACACTCCTGTTGCAGAGCCTCCCTATTCAGCTCTGGGAGGTCTGCTTAATTCTAGCTCCTGGGATCTGCATAAGCTGAATCAGGGTTCTGGTATGTGGCTGCACAAACGCTGGTGCTCAACACCAGGGGGCGTGCGGTTACCTTGCACCAGACCCTGCTAATCCACCTCCACACTGTGACTCCTACTCTGAACATCAGTCATACTGGGTCCCGGTCCTCGCACCGCCGCCTGGACAGTGTCTGGGTCTCGGGCACCGGACCGCCACCCTGACATGGGTTTGCCGAATTGTATCCATTACTATTGGGCAACTAACACTGCTATGGCGATTACATTTAACTTGGATCATGGACGCCCTCATTGGCTTGACATGGAGGTAGACAAGATTTTTCCTTGTTCTATTAAAAATGTTTTATGGCTGCCTTCTTCTCTACGGCCTCATGTGGCAGACATGTTTCCTTCTACTAAACTAACTATTAAGGCATGGGACATTTTGTATAAATTGATTCATCCTT